CCCCAGGTAGGCCAAAAGCAAGTGCTGTGTTAGACTTGACACTGCTAGGTCAAGGGTTTTGTAACCTAATTTGTTCATTTTTCAAGGAACTCTCGCAAAAGCTATTAGTGGACATTCTGGTAATTTCAAATTACTATTCAACACCCAGAAATACCTAAGAACAGTTTCTTCTCTTCAGATTTAATTTCTGCAAAGAACAGTTCCTAGTTGTTTTCCCAATAATATAATGGGATTAGTAGATTAGAGCCTTTTGGGGTCTAGGGATTAGGCCCCTTTTCCTCTGAACTCAGTATACTTGCTTACCTGTAGATCTTTGTTATATTTCTGTCATTTTATAGTCTCATTTGATTTTTATGTTGTATTTGTTGTTTCTTGGATATAGTTATTTTCAGTGAAAATTACCCAGTTGTAGATCTAAATAAATGGACCCATGGCATTGTTTTTTTAATTGGGAAGTTTCATTACAGGAATAGATAGTTCTTGAGTACATCTTTTAATATAAAGCCATAAACAAAGAAATACGGGAAATGCATGGTTTCCATTGTACAGGATCTCAGAACAAAATGTGGAATCCCAGTTTGTAGTGACTGATAAGACTGCTTAGGGCAGGCATAGGAAATCCTGCAGCACTGCTATTGCTGACACTATCAGGACATCATGCTGACCATTATGAACTCCAGTTTGCTCACAGATTATCAGAAATTTAAACATATGGATAGCTCATTTATGGAAAGAAATAAAAAAGCTTTATTTAAATTGAATGAAAGATGTTCCCACATGAAAATAGAAGAAATAATTCCAGCACAATCCTCATTTCCCAGCTGCCTTTAGAAGTTTTTCACCAAAATTGCAGTACTGAACAGGCACTGGTGTCTCACTACACTTCAGTCTTAAACTTCTTTGTTTCCCACTTCGTAGCGTTGAGAAGATTTTTCCAACCTCAGTCGTGGAAGAGAAGAATGATAAATAACACTTGATTCTTCACTGATCATGCCATGGACTAATTCTTAGTTTCTAATTCTCCTTACTGCCTTTATAAGAGAAATGTCTTTAAGAGAGCCCATCTTAGTGGCTTCTGAAAGTGTAATTTCTGCCTTTATCCTGTTGTTTGTTTTTATTAGGGAATATATTGGATATATAGTGAACTCCCATTTTTCTGTGTGTACATGAGATAAAATTACATTGTTGTCTTTGCTGGAAGCTAGATTCCCCTTCTTCCCCTCCCCCCTCTGCCAACCAGAGGCTTTGTCCTTTGGTGTAGAGAGTTCAGTGTATGTTTCTTTCATTGTTTTTCCTCTTCATTTATCTTTCTAGTTTCAAAGAAAGAACAGTTGAGAGGTAGCTCCTTCAACAGTTTGTTGCAATTTGGTCTTGTCTTCTTGATTGTTTCCCAGGCCCCTGTGCAGTGTTCTCTCAGGGAAACACTGTCTAATAATTGTGCTACTACAACTGGTATCTTATTTCTCCAAAAGTTTTGTAGTTAATTTTTAGAATGCCCCCCCTTCCCCCCCCCCCCGCCCAATCCTTTGTCATTGTTCTTAAATTGAGCTTTTTTAGCAACCAATAAGGCAGTTTGGTTTTTTAACTGAGATTTTAATTTGTTTCAAAAAGCTTTTTGCTATTTGATTCCTTTCAGAAATGCAGTTGAGGAGTAGCTGATCATCTAAAACTAACCACTGTGTATGTAGTTAGCTAGCAGTTTGTGTTTCTGAGCTTCATTTCCAGTAGTGGCCTGTGATCTGCTTGCTGTAGTGGAATAACTTCTGGAGGTCATGTGATCTCAACCAAAGTTGAACTCTTGGGTTTTTTTCACGTACTCTTTAGTCTCTGATTAATTCTTGCTCTGCTTACTTTGATATTCTGCTTTTTTCTCAATAAGTTTATTCTTCTGCTAGCTGCTCTACAGGCTTCTGGCCTGCTTGAAATGTTCAAAATTTCCTTAAGCCTCCCGATCTTTCAAAAAGAGAAGGACAACACAGCTTTAAAAATCAGAAAGATTGTTGCAGAGCAGTTATTACCTCAGCAGTTGGTTAGACATGTTTGTCTAACAAAAAACTTTAAAACATTTTATTTCTACAAGGAATTGGCAGGGAAGTTTAACAGACCGAAAGAGTGAAATAATACTCTGCAGAAATAAAGTTTTAATCCTGGAAATAATTTAAAATAAAGGGATTTTGAATGTCTTGTGAGGTGCTATACTACAAAAAGTTGTATGATACAGCATTTGAATTGCATTTGAGATACAGATATAATTACTTTATATTTTAAATGTGCTTAAAATTTGTCATCTGATTTCTTACAGAGCTGATCCCTTATCCAACATGGTTCTTACTTTCTCTACTAAAGAAGATGCCATTGCCTTTGCTGAAAAAAATGGTATGTATCGTATGTATTTGGTATGAGGAATTGAGCTTGCTATAGGCAATCTTGAACTCAAAGTATTAACAACAGAAGAAGCACAGGATAAAGTACCTTCCCTCCCTCTGTTCCACAAAATTGTTAGACCATTAGTGCTCTACTTGAGGAGGAGGAAAACGGGGGAATATTTCTGAGGGTGCTGAAGGTGTTGAATGCTAAAGGCATTGCACTTTCTGGAAAAGGGTTGCAGTCTCTGAGCCCTACCTTTGCAAGGCTTTTGCAGATATCTGTTTTGAATGAGAACTGAGCCTTGCTCAGGTCCTGGAGGAATATTAATACTTTATCTTTTAAGAGTATCCCAGGCTGGGGGTCCCAGCTACACGGCGGCAGGGTTTTTGCCTGGAGAGTTGATGTGAGCATCTGAATTCTAGTTAAAGAAGTACTGTCAGAACTGTTGTGAATGTTTGATAATCAGAAAAACTAAAATTAAGTGACTACCCAGTAAGCATGTTAGACTTTAGTTTTGGCCATGTTGCAGAATGGGTGTATTGTACAATCATATAATATCTCGAGTTGGAAGGGACCCATAAGGATCATCGAGTCCAGCTCCTCCCTGCTCCTTGCAGGACTACCTAAAACTAAACTGTATGACTAAGAGCGTCATTGTCATCCAGAGGCTTTTTGAGCTCTGACAGGCTTCATGCTGTGACCACTTCCCTGGGGAGCCTGTTCCAGTGACCCACCACCCTTTTGGTGAAGAACTTTTTCCTAATGTCCAGTCTGAACTTCCTCTTATGGGACTTTATTCCGTTTCCTCGGGTCCTGTTGCTGGTCACCAAGAGAGAGATCAGCACCTGCCCCCCCACTGCCTCCCGTGGGAAAGATGTAGATTGTGGAAGTTATACCTAACTCTTCCCAAGTACAATACTAAAAGTCTGAACCCTTACATTTGATGATTGTTTGTATTTGAGAAAAAGATAGTAGAAAAGCCAGTATCATTACTTAATATTTTTAATGCTAATAATGTATCAGAAGGACTGTATCTGTAAAGTTACTTGGTTATTTAGGCTTGTATTTTCTCACAGTATTGTGGTACTGCAAGCAGTATCCATAATCTCAGCCTTTTGAATATTCAGCAGTCCTGTTATGTCTTCCTCCTTCCCATATGAACCACTCAAGTTTTTCATTACCGAATTTCTTAAAAACCTCAAATTTAATTTATGCAAATCCTAGATATTGCAAGTATTTTACTAAGGCTGGGAAACCTAAGAGTTCTTTCTCACCTAAGAACTTCATTCACCTGAGGCAAGCTATCTGTCTGCTTGCCCCATCTGATACATTTTCTAATGTAGGAATAACAGCACTGAATACAGTAATGGGAGGGATCTCTGTTCAAAGTATGACAGCTGAGGATGGTCTGAAGTTGAGGCAAAGAGGAAACACTTGTAGCTGGTTGACATTATAAGTTTAGGCTCTCGACCTAAATTCTTTTTTGTCCTGTTTGACATCATTGAGGCAGTTGTTTAAAAACAGTTTTAGTAACAAGGATGGAGAATGTTTCTACTCCACAAATAACCTTTAGTCAGGTGATGAGGGTGTTCTTCCAGAGATTATGAAATCTGCTTTGTATCCACTTCACTTGTATGGCAGAGTTCTGGGCAAGAATATCCTCCCCGCCATTGTGGTCTTTTTGTAAAGGTGACCTCTGCTCTCTGTCATGAAAAACTGAAGGTGCCTAACTCAAGGGGACTGTTACAGAGCATGAAACCTTATCACATATGGTGTCCTCTTGCAATCCAAAGTTAGATGTAACTAACTTTGTTGATTTGGGATAGCTATGGCAGCCCAAGTCATTGTGCTGGTAGATGCAAATCCCTCTTGGAGGCACTCAGCTCCTCTCTATCTGGTGTATAAAAAGATGAAGCAATAACCTGGGGCTGTAGATTCTATTCCAGCAGCCAAGTGCCTCAAAGTTAGGTGTTACAGTGCTGAATATTGCAATACCAAAGCTTGTCTCTGGATCTAGTTCTGTCTGTTAACTCAAGCTTATATTTTTAATCAGAACAGTAGGCAAAAGCCAGTGCTCTCACAGATGGAAAGAATTCGGTTTTAAAACCTCTATTCCAATATTTCTTACTGAGAATAGTTAACTTGGAAGTTAACATTGGTTCAGCCTAATAAACACAAAGAAAATGTGTGACATTTGTGAATACACAAATTGAGGCATAGTGACTTGACAACTTGTGTTATCTTACGAAACATGTTTTGATGTGTAGATGTATCTTTAGTGTTTTCTGTGAACATCTTAGGTGTAAAAATTCATATATATATATATATATATATATGTTAAACCTTTTAGGACTTACCAAGTTTTCGTTCTAAAACTAAGAAAGAAAAGTATCATCTTATTGGTATCACTTAAAACTGAATACTTAACCACTTCTAGCTTCAACTCAAGTATCGCAACTTTGAGTGAAATGTTGCAGCTAAAAAGACCAAACTTTGGAATCCTGAGTGCTGCCCTGGCAACTTTCCAGGCACCTGGAGGCTGCAACCAATTTGCATTTTGATTTACATAAACACTAATGTCTCCACCTCCTCTTTTCTGACATTTTTTAGCATTTTTCTTGCTTAACTATCACATAATTTACTTGTCTTCTATCATTTGATTCCCTTTTCTTTTATTCCTAATTTTTTATGTTCTTATAAAAATGTTAATTATTAAACTCCTTTCTAATGCTGAAGTTTTTTCTTTGCTCTTCCTTTCTTTGGTCCTCCCACCTTTTTTTTTTTTTTTTCCCCTCTGGCCTTCCAAGGTCTCTCTTCTATCCCAGCTTTTGGGATTGATCTTCTGTATGCTATTTTTTCTCGTGTTTCCTTACCTGTACTTTCATTTCTTGTCCCAGCATACACAGAACCTTAGTGCTTCTGTGATGCTGTGGAGTTATGGAGCCATGAACCTGCAGGGCAGTCAGTGTTCCCTGTTGAGCTTTTCACTGATGTCTGTCAAGTTTTTTGCAGGAGTAAAGAAAATGGAGATACGTAGTGTGGTGAAATCTTATCAACTGAGAGAACAGGCATATGTCACATCTATGGCATTTCAGTATTCTTTGCTGCCAGCTACACTGGAAAAAACTAGTGGATGCCTACATGGAGAAAAAGATACAAAAATTAAACCATTTAAGTTGCTTTTGCTCTCTATTATATGCTGAGAATATTTAGAATTCTCTTTGTTTCTTATCTCCCCCCACTATTTCCCCTGTAACCTTCAGGCTGGAGCTATGATGTTGAAGAGAAGAAGAATCCAAAACCTAAATCCAAGTCTTATGGTGCAAACTTTTCTTGGAACAAAAGAACAAGAGTGTCTACAAAATAGGTTGGCATTGGCTGTCTGACTGTGAATAAAGTCAGCTGTGCTGTATTTATAGTCCATGTATAATACATCTCTTAATCTCCTAATAAATTTGACCTTTAAACTACAGATGCATCTTGTGATGTCTATTTAAAATGTTTTTGATGTCTCCAATTGAACCTGTTACAAACTTCCCTATAAATAGAGGAGATTTGGAGTGTTCATACTTCTAAAAAATTGCTGTACTAGGAATCTATCAAAAGGAATGTTTGAAATCAGCTGCAACTTTAAAGGTTATGGTTTATCGATGGTAATTTTATATTCACTATCTTGTTTAAACTTACTGCCTGGCATATATGAATTCTGTCAGTGGAAGCTGGGTTTTTTTCTTTCTCTTTCTATACAAGAGAAGATTGTCAACTGAAGAGCAAAGTATGACATATAAAACTTAACATTTGAGTATAACTTAGACTATTCTATATTAATGTACATTATATAACCTCCTTTCTGCCCAAAATAATGTAGTCCTTTTTCCATAAGCATTCATGACTGGAATAGAAAGCCCTGTTTTTGTGTTGATTAAGCTTAGTCCAAAAGATTGAGATTGTCATTTTCTCTCTGTGGTGTTCTTTGACAGTGAAACTAGCTCAGTTAAATATTGACAAACTTAGTTAAAGTGTTGGGTGCCTCACACAGCATCAGGATATCACAGAATCACAGAATGGTGGGGGTTGAAAGAGAACCCTGGAGATCATCTAGTCCAGCCCCCCCTGCCAAAGCAGGTACATCTAGAGCAGGTTGCACAGGACTGCATCCAAGTGGGGTTTGTATATCTCCAGAGAAGGAGACTCCACAACCTCTCTGGGCAGCCTGTTCCAGTGCTCTGGCACCCTCACAGTAAAGAAGTTTTTCCTCATCTTTAGATGTAACTTCCTGTGTTCCAGCTTGTGCCCATTGCCCCTTGCCCTGTCACTGGCCACCGCTGAAGAGAGTCTGGCCCCATCCTCTTGACACCCACCCTTCAGATATTTATAAACATTGAAAAGGTTCCCTCTCAGTCTTGTCTTCTCCAGGCTAAACAGACCAAGGTCTTGCAGCCTTTCCTCATAAGAGAGATGCTCCAGTCCCCTCATCATCTTCGTAGCTCTTCACTGGACTGTCTCCATTAGCTCCTGGTCTTTCTTGAGCTGGGGAGCCCAGAACTGGACACAATACTCTAGATGTGGCCTCATTAGGGTACAGTAGAGAGGGAGGTTATCCCTCTACGTGCTGTCCAATGCTCTTCCTAATGCACCCCAGGATACCATTGGCCTTTCTGGCCCCAGGGGCACACTGCTGGCTCAGGGTTAACTTGTCCATTAGGGCTTCCAGGTCCTTCTCCACAGAGCTGCTTTCCATATACTAATTATATAACTATAGTTCTGGTTTTTTTATTGCTAGTTACATGTTTATCTGCTTTGAGGTTTCCTAAAAAGAGGGCGATAGCATCTCAGCCATAACATATATAACCTAAACTCAGTTTGTCTTACATGTCGTTAAATCATCAATTACAGTAATGCACAGTATTATGTTTGTAATCCTTGGTTACATATCTATGGGTTTTGACTTACTCTATTCAACTTTTACTTAACAAATGGAGATACCAACACATTATCAGTGAAATCTATTACAGTTTGGGGGAGAGTTTTCTGCCCACTGTCATGGAAGAAACAGCTGAGACAGCTTTCTCCACACAGATCTAAAGAATGGTGTAAGTGTTATGCACTGAATTCTAGCTAAAAGAAGGCATAAAACTACCTTTTATTGTCCAGATTTGATTATATTCTTGTTTTGGTTTTAACCAGCTGCCCTATATGCTGGCTAACATTTGTTTAAAGTTAGTTTTTAAACAGTTTTTGACCCAGTTTCAGTGTAATCAACCAGTTGGCTGATGTCTCTGTTTTCATATCACAGACAAGAACTTCCTATTGAATTTTGAATGCTACATTGTGCAATGGAGCCTAAAGTCCTCCAGGAACTCCAGAGCACACCAAACTGCCAAACTGGAATCTCAAAAGTCCAGAATCTACTACATCTCTCTATTCCAGCTAGGCTTAATATGCTGATATTACTAAGGAGACAGTAATAAGAAAAGCCATTCTTCCTTTTCCCTTTTCCCTTTTTTTTCCCTGTTTCCCTTTTCCCCTTCTTTTCCCCTTCTTTTCCCCTTCTTTTCCCCTTCTTTTCCCCTTCTTTTCCCCTTCTTTTCCCCTTCTTTTCCCCTTCTTTTCCCCTTCTTTTCCCCTTCTTTTCCCCTTTTTTCCCTCCTTTTTCCCTCCTTTTTCCCTCCTTTTTCCCTTCCTGTTTGCAAATGAAGAGCAGCAAGATCTTAATTTAAGGTCTTCAGGCTTTATAAGATAGCTGTCAACATCAAAACTGAAAAGTGGATAGCTAATGCAGCAGAGGCATAGCTTGATTTTTGAAATTAGGTAGTCTAGGAAAATGGCTGATAAAAGTTAGATACCTAACATTATCTTTGGACACATAATATATGAAAATGCTGTATGTTAATCTATGCTTCTTTTAACTAGAATCAGTTTCATGTAAAACACAGGTTTTTTTGTTTGTTTTTTCTGCTGAGATAATGGAAATATTCAAAGGAGAATTCATTAAGTCCCTATCCTAAGGAAGAAAGCTTTTTTTTTTTTTTTTTTTTTTTTTTTTTTTTTTTTTTTTTTGTTTTTTTTGTTCATTATGATTCTGTAGTGTGCACCCCACCTTGAATTCTTTAAGTTGTGTTTGAGCCCAGACCATCTTTTCTTGTAGTCACTTTCCTAGGGCTTGGATATTTTTCTCCCATTAGATGGCTTCTTAAGAACGAGCATGCTGACAGTGGAAGAGTTGAGTATCACTGCTGTAGTCTTCAGACCCTAGAAGTGAAGTTGAGTGCAAAAGCTTGCAGAAGACAAAAGATCAGTGCCAACAGAATATATTTTAGAGATCAAAAAATTTAGTAGTTGCTGAACTTCATTCACATTTCTTTAGATTACCAGACTACTACAGCACTAGGCTTCAACTGAAATTGTACAAGATGATCTGACCATTTTAACAGCCTTCAGTAGTGCACGTTTCATTGGCAAGCTCCAGCTTCTATCTACTCTGCAGTGTGTTACACAAATCTGGAATATGTCAAAACAAAAGATACAACAGGTAAGCTAAGTAGTTTATGCTTAGACTTGTGTAGATATATCATGTGAAGTTCTGGAGGCAGAACTGCTACTAGACACAGTCCTTTCCTGGTTCTAGCAAATTATTCTGTAGTATCACCCGTTTTCTGAAAAAGGCATATTATCTTTGATTGCTGTCGCAGCCAGCTACATGTAACAATGAGATCTGGATTATTCCTGTCACATTTGGGTGAAAGTTCCTTCTTTTAAGAAAGTAGCAACATCGTAATATTTTTCTTCCCATATGCTGTTATTTTTATGCCCAACAGCTCTACAAGGTATGTGGCACTTACCATTTTTTTGTTTAATGTCTTTTGACCACATGAAAATTTTGATACATGAGTTTGAAAAGTTGGCCATGCCAGTAGTATACTTCTTTAAAACCAGAAATGTTTTGATGAAATTTTAACTTACTGACAAACCTCTTCTGTTTTCTTTTTTCTGCCTCACATGTTCATTTCCCCTTTCCTGACACTTTTTCTCCAAGTTCCTTGCAATGAACTCTATTCTGTTAATTGAATGCCTGTTTATATCAATTCAGTGACAGCCACAGAAGAACAAAAGCCAAAACAGCCCTGTTTAGAGCTCAGAATCAGTGTAATCTTTGTATTTTGGGGCATTTTTCTGCTGGAAGAAAATTCTCCCTGTTCTGTTGCTGACTTTAGATAACAATATCTACTTTGCAATGTAGGACTCCCTAAAAAATGTGGGTGCGTGCTACAAATACTTTGATATACTTTGCACAGTTCTGTTATGATAAAATTACATTTGCAGGATGCCAAGTTGTTCTGAAGGCTGACAGCATTCATAATTGCAACAAACGTTTTTTTTAATTATAACAAAGGCCCGCAACTCTCAAAGTCATGGTGATGTAATGGAACCCAAAGACTGTCAGGAAACTAAAAGCAGTTTCAGCTTTCTAGCAGTGTATTCCTTAACTCTGCAGTTTGATGGATAATTTAAAACAAATCAGACTATTAAGTGATACTATGAAATGGAAAATTTAATTACCCCTATCTGCAAAGTTTTGTCATGTGGTAGAAAAGGAGAAGCTAATTTGGACTAATTTTAGCTTTTGCTTGTTAGCTTCACACCAGGAACTTGTGTAGTTCAGTTTTACCAGAGATACAGTTATGACTTTACATTTTGTTACTGGGCATGCCAAGATACTTTGTTACTCCAAAAAGAAGAAAAGTGCAAATAAAGAAACCTGAAATAACCTAAAAAATAATTTTAGACAGTTGTATGGTAAGTTATAATACGTCTGGTAAAGCAGCTTGCTTTGATAAGTCCCTGTTCTTATTCCAGTATTCTGAGAGGGGGTTATTTTTAATTGGTACTTGATTAATGCTGGAGTTTATCATCAACATCACAAGATTTCTGAAAAAATGTGCCTACAGCGACTTAATAGAACCAAAAAAAGCATGTTATCTTCAAATTGTACTAAAATGTAGGTTTCAGTTGGATTTAAATACCAATTCTTCACATGCCTGTTCATCGTGAGGGAAGGTAGAAAGGTCCCTGCCTTGAATCTTTCCTGCACAGAAGGTGTGAATGAAAATCTTTTGGGACAAGTTGATTAAAATAAATACAAAGGTCAGGCAGCAGTCTTGTTAGAGTTCTCAAGGAATTCAGATTGGCTGTACTTAGTACTATTTGCCAGTATAGCATTCAAACATTTCATGCTGTTGTGTTTGTCAGTGTTTTGTGATTAAGTAAACTCTTTAGAGTGAAGAAATGACCACAAATGATTTCCACTTTGAAGCTCACAGAGATTTACTACTGACCATCATGGTCTTCGGTGATCACTGGATTTTTAAAAACAGGTTATCATACCTAGATATTTGTGTGCGGATTCAAAATTACTATCTAAAATTGCATGATATTTAAATGAAGATTAAATATTTTTGTGTACATGTAGTT